CGTTAAAACTAATGGAAAAACTCGATAAACAAAATCGAGTCGTTTTTGTGCCAATATTTTCGATACAAAACTATTTAAATCGGTTACAAAAATGTAATTTTAATATATTTGACGCTAAACTCTATCAGAGGAATGGATTCCTGCCAATCATGTTGTGGTATAAATCAAAGACTTTATAATAAAACATAAATTAAATTTAAGTTAAAACAAATTTTGTTTTAAATAAATTATATAATTAATGAAATGTATATTTATTTGTCGGCATTTTGTCGGGCGATCTCTGGGTTGAACTGAGAATTATAAGACCGGAGTCTGTCATCCATTACAACCTCTTCTTTATTGGTCTTTCCGTAGAGTAGGTCTCGAGTCCTCTCCCTCTCAACCCTTTCCCTCTCGAGTCTCTCAGCTCTCAATTGTTCCAAACTTTTGGACACATTCTGAGAGGAAGTCCTATCGTCTTGAGAATCGTCTGAACTCTCGCTCGACATTCGCTTTCGTCTCTTCTTCTTATGTTTTTTACTTTTCTTAGATTTCTTGGACTTCTTCTTAACTATAGTTTCGGTTCTTTTGAGCACATCTTTGGACGACTTATGACTCGTTTTCTGTTTATTAGTCTTTTGTGTCTTATCTTCCGATTTGCTTTTCATTACTTTCAGGTATTTCTTCATGTCTTCGATCGGATCATTCATTGTCTTCAGTTTGTTGTCTTTCAACTGCTTCTCCACATCGTTTGGGTCGACATCTCTAGCCATGAGTTTCATCCGCTTCTCGTGTGAATCCAAATACCAGACACTATTAGCGTCCGACTCCTTGTCCACCAAATACTGCAAAATCCCAGTCTTTGTCTCAAACTTCTCCTTCTCGTCCTTCACTTCTTTCTCGTATTCACTGTTTTTGGTCTTAATTTTGTCGCCAAAATCTTTGAATACATCCAAATGACTGCTGCCGGCGGCCGATGTCTGCTCACCATTGGCCTCCGTGTCCACATCGCCTGTCTGGTGATCGTCTCCTTTGAGTCGATGCCTAAGAAGCGTAATCCTGGACTCGCTTTCGGCCAAAAGGATCCGTTTCTGTTTCTCCAGCTCTTCATTGCGGGCCTTCTCCTCGTCTCTCTTCACTCTCTCGATGTTATTCCTGTTCCTCACGTGCCATGACTTGTGGTGTAAGATATTCATCGCTAACCACCACTACTATCGACCTCTCATTACCACCAAATGATCGTTAAATTGTACAAAACTTTTGCCACAAAAGTCAGTCAATCGCTGAATGTTTTGTAAACATCTGTCAATTCATATCACGTGATAATCACATGATTGACAACATTTTGGGAAATCATATATTTAGCGCTTACTTTGAATTGAATTTAGTATTTGTTTTNACAAAACTTTTGCCACAAAAGTCAGTCAATCGCTGAATGTTTTGTAAACATCTGTCAATTCATATCACGTGATAATCACATGATTGACAACATTTTGGGAAATCATATATTTAGCGCTTACTTTGAATTGAATTTAGTATTTGTTTTAATTTGTGTTTAATTTATGTTTTATTATAAAGTCTTTGATATATACCACAACATGATTGGCAGCAATCCATTCATTATATAATTTATTTAAAACATAAAATTCAATTAAATAAATATAAACAATAAAAACAAGTCATTAAATAACACTTCATGTCATCCACTCTTGAATCTGTGTCTCATTCACGTGAATACTTTTGCCCACTTTTCGCGATATTTCAATGCATTTCAATTTAGGACTTCTGGACACCAATGCCTTCAAATGACACTCATTTAGATCCACATCTTTAGTGATGTGAATGAAAAGTGAGCGAAGTTTTGGTAATCTTGGGATCCATTGCAAAGAATCGCTGTTTATATCACCGTTTAGGTCACAAATGCTGAGAAATTCAAGATTTGCAAAATTAACATCAATTTTATCGTAAAAACTATTATCCTTTTGCAATACATGAAGAGTTAAATGTGTTAATTGTGGCCAATGTTTGAGTAAATCAAATGTGTGACAATCGGTCACCTCTTCATCCTCGCTGTCAAACAAATCGAGTCTCAAATCCAATCGTTTTAGATGCGGAAACATTTGTATGGATTTAAATATGTCTGCATTCAGTTGCGGTATATTTGACCACAAGAGTAGACAAAACTTTTTCAATTTCTTACACTTGGATCCGATTTTCTCCAAAGAGTCGGACAGCGAGTAGTCTATAGCCGAGTAATAGTCGGAGAAATTGAGCTCTAATTCCGACAATTGTGTCAATTCTGACAACTGATCCATGAATTGAATGACAGTTTCCTTGGGTTTGGAGGCAATACTTCTGACGATAAGACTGTTCAACGACTTGTTGTTTGCGATGAAAGTGTCAAACATTTCATTATTAAAATTCAAACCGAAGTGAAACTCAAATTTGTGTAAATTCTGAACCAATAGCTGGTTCTCGACGTCGAAGACGTAAAACAAGGAATAGGTCTTGAGATGAGACAAATGGTGGCAATACGTGAACCACTCCTTATAGTAAGTCATAAAACAGTCAAATCGGGTGATCTTCGGGCCATACGTTTGAAACAAGTGTTGCATAAAATTGCGATTAAATGGCAACAGATTGGTGTGAATTGTGTGCAAATGCGGACAATTGTCTCGCAAACCATTCAACACATGTCGGGAACCACTGCTATAAGACAACACTTGCGAGCAGTGGATGCGCTCCACGTGACAGCACTTCCGCATAATATTGGCCCAAATGCTGAGATCGATGTCACCTTTGGGGTCGCCATTGGTGGTCAGTTTGGCCACCAGATTGCTGTCGATGGTTAGGTCTGTGAGAGTGACGTAAACGCATCGCTGAAACTGTTTGGACACCACTTCGTGTCGGAACCGCTCCTCAAACGACAGATAACTCAATAATAGTCGACACAAATCGTCGCCAAATCTGTCGAAAGACTCGTTGCCATACATTCGCATCATTTCCTGGAAAACAGTGTCTTATGCAAGACTCAGAGGAATACTTTCAAAACAAATAAATGTTTATAAAGTGTTGAAAAGTTTGTGTAAACTCTTGATTGAAGTGTCAAATGACTGAACCATTGATTTGCACAACAAATGAGTGAATGTTTGTAAACAAAACAACAGATGTTTGCATTCAATGAGAGACTCAATGACTGAATGCTTGCGAATGACGTGTATTTGAAACTCAGAGACACTTGACGTGCCATACGTTACACACATTTGCTGTGAATTTGCGGACAATTATGTTGAAGGCAGTCATCCTCATGGGTGGACCACAAAAGGGTATGTCTTGTGACCACTGTCTGTCCCACTGGAACCGTGACCGCCACTCGTGTGTCTCATAGGGACCCGATTCCGTCCCCTATCGCTGGACAGCCCTAAACCCCTGTTCCCGGTGGCGGGCCTTCCGATGGTCGAGCATCTGGTGAAGGCGTGTGCGCTCGTGGACGGCATGAAAGAGATAATCCTCATCGGCTTCTATCAGATCCACATGTTCTCGGCGTTCATCGACTC